ATCTGCTTCAGTAGACATCTGCTTGTGTGAAAGCTTTCAAAAAATTATGAGGAAATGTAACACACTTCCTTTATCCTGGAATTACAACATTTGGAGTTCTTTCCTGAGAGATGTGTCAATCAAATCTTGCCTACCGATCTCTGTGGATGTGCTGTCACAGGATTCTGACTGAATATCTCTGCTTTCTCTGTGGTCAGTCTAGAGCATTTCCCTCGCTGCTAATACATGCAAGCAGATGCAATAATCTTCCTTTGAAATGATTTTGAATCCCTTATGGCCTCATTCTGGATTAACTGTCTATTACCTGATCCTCCTAAGAATTTATGGAAGTTAGAGGGGCTCTGAAAAGATTGATTCAGAGAAGGTCCTTTCATATAACATTCGGCAGGTTTATTGTTCAGGCAAAAACTAGTAAGTGAAGGGATCTCATTGTTTCCAAAAGGGAAAGCTCAATACTGTCTGAATGTTTCTGCCTCTGAATAGTACACTACAGGGCTCACATGAATCAGGCAGGGCTGGTCAGTCACTCTTCTTAGCAAATTGTTAGACTGTCTGTGCTATAGCACCACAGAGTTTATAATATCTGCTTCTCCTTCTCTCTCTCCTTGGTAAAACCAGCAAGAAAACTCCTTCAGTTGCCAACCACAGCCCTCCCTGTGCAATTACTGCCACTGCTTGGGCATTTTTGCTAAGAAGAAGGGACAAAAAGGAGGGAGACATCTAAATTCTTCAAAAAAAGTAGATTGCAAAGATATCAGCATTTTGTTCATTCTCAGAGTAATGAGATCCTGCTCATTAGTATATTTATTAGTCCTGTGTGTGAGGGGGCAAACAGTCCTCTTCACTCTAGAGTGTCTTTGACAGTGCTGGGGTAGAAAAGAACCAGAACCTTCTGCTGTCTACTGAGCATCTATCTTAGGACCAGGACTGCATGCTAACTTTGGATCAGCTGCTGTTGAATACCAGGGTTGTGCACCATCACCCTGCTCAAATTGATTCAGCTCCTTAGGACTCATTCTCTTTTTAAGCAGGTAGGATGTACTTACTACAGAAAGTAAAGTAAGATGAGCAAAAAAATGCAGTTTTATTAATGGTATGAGTTTCATAGCCAGACAAAGTTGGGTTCTGGTTGAAGCTTTAACACCTGCATGTAACCTAGAGAAAGCTTTCATGGGGCTGGAGAGATGGTCCAGGGGTTAAGAACATTGACTGCTCTTCTAGAGGACCTGGGTTCAATGTCCTGCACATTTATGGTGGCTCACAACTGTAACTCCAGTTCTAGGGGATCCAATCCATTTCTCTGGCCTCCTTGGGCATTGTATACATGTGGTTCGAAGATACACATGCATCCTGAACACCTATGCGCATAAACAAAGAGGAAGGTTTCATTATTTTTTTTTGTACCAAATTGACCTGTAAATGTTAATTTATGTAATTCTGGCAACTGAGTACACATGGAAATGAAACCTTCCACTCCTTCTGGTTTCCTAAGTTTCTTTTCACCAGTGGTGACTACTCAAGCATTTCTGGAATTCTTTCTGGAGGCTTTCAAGAAATGGGTGTGGGCTAGTTTTCATTAACTTGATACAAACTAGTGTCACCTGAGAAGAGGGAACTGCAGTTGAAGAATTGCCTTCATCAGACTGGCATGTGGGCAAGTCTGCGGGGTCCTTTTCTTGATTAATGATTGATGAGGGAGGGCCCATCCCATTGTGGGTGGTGACACTTCTAGACAGGGGGTCTTGGGTTATATAAGAAAGCAGGCTGAGCAAGCCATTGGGGGCTAGCCAGTAGCAGCACTCCTCCATAGTCTGTACTTTTGGTTGCTGCCTTGACTTCTCTTAGCGATGGGCTGTGACTTTCCTTCCCAAGTTGTTTTTGGTCATGGTGTTTATCACAGCAATAGAATCAAACAAGAACAGCATGTTAAAATATATATGTAAACAACGATCACCATGGCAGATAACCCTAAGGGTGCAAGAGTGGACACATACTTTGGCAGTAGCTAACATCTCTCTAGTTGGACATAAGGCCCATTCAATAAGAGGGAAGTCATACCTGCGACTGGAAACCTAGCCAACTACCCAGTGCTAGTGAAGTCATGAATCTTACAGGAGAACCTACAGCCACCACTTTGTTAAACTATCACAACCTCTAACTACACTCTAAATATTTGTCATTCTATTCAAAGGTAAGTGCGGTCTTTGTCCCTCATCAACTTTGCAACAAATGGAGACCATTACAGAAAACCACAACAAGTCAAAATACACAGTTTGTGGAGCCTAGTGCCAATGGAACATCTACAATACCACTCACACACCCAAGGATTAGGGAACCCCAAAGAAGGGGGTGGGTGGGTGGGAAGATTGTAAGAGCCAGAAGATCAGGGAGTTTGCTGGGAGATTGTGTCTACTATAGAATGTCAGAAGCTACACCCATAAGGTCTCACCAACACGACTCCCTAAATAGGAGCTCAATAAAGATAGCATCAATAGACATGCTACTAATGACAGGGGAATGTTCACAAGGCTTCAACCCTACATGAAGAACTATAGGCTACTAAGGAATGCTGAGACTAGGAGAAATAGTCTTCTCTAGGGAAGAGTACATTAATTGGTTATCCAAAATCAAGTGGTCAGTTCTGAAAACACAATACAAGTAACATAAGACTGAGCAGAGTGTATTTAGGAATCTATCTATCTATCTATCTATCTATCTATCTATATCTATATATATATATGTATGTATGTAACAACAATTAATGAAAACAGATCAAAAGAAGGAAGAGGAGATGGTGTAATTATATTACAATCTCAAAAAATAAAAGAAAATGTAAAAAAAAAACAAAAACTTGTGTGAGAATACTCTTGTCTCAACATGTGGACCTTACCGTGCACACACAGGCTTCTGACATACTCTTCTTTTAACTAACAATGCAACTTAGACCCATTTTGTCATCACATTTACACCTATCATCTTCTTTTGGTTACACCATTCTTTGGAATCTGCCTGTAACAATACTTAATTTTGCTGAACACGTGTGATGTATGATTAAGTAATTAAACCACAGCACGTTAGTAGTTTCCAACTGAGTTCTGTAAATAATGCTGTACCGGATCATCTTTGTATACTCATGTTTAAGCTCTCATATAATCAGCTCTTTAAAGTGGGATGCCTATATCAAAGTACGTGGGCATCTGAATTTTAAACAGATACTTCAAATAGAGTAAATATCCCAACTTTTCTGAATCCCAGGGTCTCATAAATCCAAGTTGAAGCAGGACCTAACTCATGGGTTGTCATGAGGATTAATGAAGACAAGATAACTGTTAATAGTGCTGCTACATGAAACAAGGCTAAATGTAAAATGATTAACATTCCAATTCCAGACTAATAGAAATAACATTTAGCGTCCAACATCCCAAGTATCACAGAGTGTGCTTATGTGTAAAATAATTTGTTGTATCTGAAACTCAAGTGAGGGTAGAACGTGGAAGTAGGAGGTGTAGAATTTAAAAACGAAATTTAGCACAATCCTAGCTTCTCCTCAAAACAGACACTTTCAATAGAGACTGCAGAACATGGCAGTAGTGGTGCAGTTTCCATAAGCTACACAAGATGTCCTTCTCTACGCCATCACTTCATATCTCCAGTAGACAGTCCCCGGAGGAATGTCACTGATGCTGCAAGGAAGGAGTCCCCAGGAGAAATAAACAGCAATACTCTGTACTTAAAGAGGTTTATAAGGCTTCCTCCATTCTCCTAGTGTCACTGGGCCAAAGAGTACAGCAAAGCATGGCACTGAAAAAAATGATCAAATTTTGGCTAGAGACAAAAATGCTACAGCTGAGAAACTTCCAGAACAACATGTACTTGGACCCGAATTAAAGAACAATCCTTTGAACTCTTGAGCCAAATGACCCATCAGGGTTGATAGTGTGAGGCGAATTTCACAGTGGTGTAAATATTTACATCTATTTCCAGCCTAGAAAGCAAGGAGTTGGGCTAGTTTTGAAAATCTGCATAATGGGGTTCACCTGATGTACTGGGGACTCCTGCCTTGCAGGGTCCCACCCTGTTCCAACAGTCTTTGCTTCTAAGAAGCAGGCTGAGAAAGAGCAGTTTGGAAAGCAAAGCTGCTTTACATTTCAAGGAGTTTGTTTTGGAAGGAAGGCGGGGTCAGTGTCTCAGTATCTAGCTGCAGGTGGCCTGTTTCTTCAAGGCCTGTCTAGCTTTGGACAACCCTGACTTGCTTGTCACCCAAGGCTAGATCCAATGAACACAACTGCTTTTCCTTACAAGCCCTTTGTGAACTTGGTGAAGAGTGGGCATGGGACTTCATTACATACATAGGCTTCAAGGAAAGCTAGCAGCTAATTCATCTCTGTTCTGAGCTGCCTCTAGTCCTAGGCTGATAGAATGCCACCAAAGCCACCTCTCTACAGCAGCACTGTGGCTACTGTGTAGGCATCTTCATTTGGTCTTTCAGGCATTCTTTTATCACCCATCTTTCTTGTCCTTTCTAAAACTGTAACTTTCCCTTTTATTTGCATTTTACCCATTACCCTGGACTATTCCCCTTTGCTGCTATCTTCTCATTTCCTTTTTGTCTCTCGTTAAATGGCTTCTGAGACAATGGGAGTGCTGTTCCTGTACTCACTAGTTGAGAGCTAGAGATGAATATACATAGATGGATTTTCTGCGAGATCATGGAGGTTGCATAAAAGTGGCATCCAGCTGGCATCATGGCATGGTCTCACAGACCCTTAGCCAAGAATTTTGAGCTTTGTCTTGGTTACTCACTGGTATAGCTACAGACTAATTATTTTACCTCTCTGACACCCACATTGCTCATTGATTATGAATGAGTCCTTTGAATTTCCCATTTTAGCAATGTCTGGTCTGGTTCTTGTATGATACTATGTGCATATGGCTACAACCTTTGACTATACTTTTCATTTTTCCCCATTGTTGAACGAAATATTCTGTTCTTTCCTCAGACTGCAGAATGAAAAATGGATGAATGTTAAAGTTGGAGACATCATTAAGTTAGAAAATAACCAATTTGTTGCTGTGAGTATTCACTATTGTATGACTCAGATTAGAATAACACACATTGAAGTACTTACTTGTGCAAATTTAGTAAATCTGCAATAATTTAGAGTCCCCAAGGAAGGATTGCCATTATACATTAGTGCAAATTCTCAAATATAAATAATTTAAAAAAATCATTTTCAATGACATTGTGACTTGCTTAATGCCGAGGGGCTCTCTCCCTATTTATTTGTTCCCTTAAGGAAACTTACACAAATGCAGAACTATTTCAATCAATATGTGAATTATTTATGTAAATAAGAGTTTAAAAATGCTCCCGAGTACCCTAAAATAGTGTGCTTTCTACACTTTGAATGCTATTTCTTAATATTGCAATTGCTGTTCTTAAGCTGCAACAAAGTAAACACGCTAAAGAAAATTCATGTTATAATTCTACATTGATAAAAGGTGAGTTAGTGAAGATTTTGAACATCAAATGTATCATAACTTTTATTTGCAGGAAACCAGTGTTTAATTTCCTAAGTAAAAGTCAGTTACCTCACTAAAGGTAGACAACTGCAGTTAAAGTCAAATTTAAGGTGAGAAAAATGGTACAGATCAGAAACTAATAATTCAAATTATTATAGAGATTGTATCAAATATGTATTAGACCACTTATGAAAATATGAAAATTTTTGTGTTGTATGCAAATTTCTGAGTCAAACTGTATTCTTTATTAAAGTTGTGATTTTTTTGTTTGTTTTGTTTTTCGAAGCAGGGTTTCTCTGTGTAGTTTTGAAACCTGTCCTGGAACTCACTCTGCAGACCAGGCTGGCCCAGAACTCACAGAGATCCGCCTGCCTCTGCCTCCTGAGTGCTGGGATTAAAGGTGTGCGCCGCCACCACCCAGCTAAAGTTGCAATCTTATTTTTTTTTAAAGATTTTATTTATTTATTATGTATACAGCATTCTGCTTCCATGTATATCTGCACACCAGAAGAGGGCACCATATCTCATAACGGATGGTTGTGAGCCACCATGTGGTTGCTGAGAATTGAACTCAGGACCTCTGGAAGAGCAGTTGGTGCTCTTAAACCTCTGAGCCATCTCTCCAGCCCTAAAGTTGCAATCTTTTATGACGGAATAATTTGGCGCTAAAATCTCTTTAAAAGAACAACAACCCAGTTGAGAGTGCTGGACACTCTCAGTCTTCTATTGTTGCACTTTCTGTGCCTGCAGAGTGCAGAGGAGCATGCACAGAGGAGCTTCCCAGTGGACAAGTCATTAGCAGATGAGCTTGTACTTCTAAGTGGCTTATTCTCTGGCAATCTTAAGGTTTGGAAAATAGCTGGGACCCCAAACAAAAATAAGCAAGATGTTGTCAGGACAGCCAAAACAGAGGTCTCAAACTCTGTGCCCTATGGCTTGGACCTCTCAAACACAGGATAGTCTGCTAGGGTCTAAATAAAATTGATTTACTTTTATTTCATGTGACTTAAATGACATGTCTGGCTTATTTTCCACTCAGTAAATATTGGGAACATAAAACTAGGAGGTGACACCTAGGTTGAGGTGACACCTCAACCTCCCCCTCTATAGGTGGGGTTGAGGTAGATAATTAAAAGAACTAGCTGGGAGCCAAGTCTCTGTTTACTGTTGCAGTGCCTCCCATGAAATGGGTCCCAGGAGGCAAGCATAAAAATGTATGTTGAATTTTAATTACTCTATATTCAAGTGCCTACATATGACCTATGGTCATATGTATTTACCCTGCCCCTGGTAAAGTACCAGCAAGACTCTTTGGTCCACAGTCCCAAAGCCCAGTCTCTGTGTTATCAGCAAAGAAGATAACACTTTAAAAAATTTCCATTCTGCTCCACTTGACTGTTTGGTTAAAAGAGAAGAAGAGGACCTCTCAGATTCCCCAAACACCACAGCACCTCATAACCAAGTCACTTCACTCAAGGTTTGTTCATGTGTAGCTATTCCACACCTATGAGTAGTTTCAGAAGTGAGCAAAGTTTTTATAGATGGAATGCCTGCTGGGGGTGCTAATGTCTGGGGAGTGGTATTCACAGTTCCCTAGAAAAGACCCACTTAGGGCTTTTCATTCTGGAGTAGACCTTAGGAAGCCTGCTTATGAAGCTAATGACCACAGTGGCTAAGACTATGCCACATAGTCTTCTATGCTTGTTTCTTGCTAGCTCTTATAACTTATATTAACCTGTTTTTCTTCATCTACATATTGCCTGGGGGCTTATTAACCTTTCTTTCATTTTGTATGTCTTACTCCAAGTCTGATTGGGTGGCAGCTGCTTGGCTGGCTGGCCCTGGTCGTCTCCCTCTCTTTTTACCTCATTCTCTCTTCTCTTGTTCTTATTCTCCCTTCTCCCTTCTCTTCTCTCCTCCTACTTATTCCCTCTGCCTGGCAGCCTGGCTTAGTCCTCTACTGTCTAGCTATTGGGCATTCAGCTTTTTATTAGATCAATCGGATGCGTTAGGCAGGCAAGGAGAAACAGCAACACATCGTTACATAATTAAACAAATGCAGTAAAAACAAATGTAATACATCTTTGCCCAGTTAAACAAATATTCCACCACAGGATGCATGTGTTCACATATGTATATGCAGGCACATGTGGTTGTGCAACTGGTGTGCTGGCCAGAGGAGACACTGAGTGTCCTCTTGTGTTCTTTGTTTTATTCACTCGAGACAAGGTCTTTCATCGGACCCAGAGCTTGCCATCTTTCAGCTGGACTGGGGATGTGCAAGTCTCAGTGGTCTGTTGCTCTGGGGTGGCAGAGGTAGGTGGCCATACCTGGCTTGTGGGTGCTAGAGATCTGAACTCAGGTCTTTATGCTTTTGAAGCATAAAGGTAGGCAGACTTTTTGTGTCCCACCAGTTGGCTCCCAAATAACCACACAGAGACTTAATATTAATAATAAATGCTCAGCTGATAGCTTAGGCCTGTTACTAACTAGCTCTTACAGCTTAAATTAACCCATGTTTCTTACCTAAGTTCTACCACATGGCTCATGGCTTATTACCTCATTTTTTACACGTTCTGCTTCCTTCACATCTGGCTCAAGACTCCTCAGACTTTACCCTTCTTCCCAGTGTCCTCCTAGTCTGACTTTCCTGCCCAATCTCTTCCTGCCAGTTAGCTCTTTATACAACCAATGAGAGTATACATATTTACAGTAATACCTATGTACAAAGATTTCTTCACAGTAGGGCCATATCCTCAGATCCTTTTCTTATTTTCAATGAATTTTTTAATTGAAAAATTTTATTGCTAAAACTAAACAAAGTGATATTCAATGATTTTCAACATGTGCTAACTGGATATGAAATTTAAAGTTTGAATTAAAACATTACCTATAGTCACACACACCACCACTGCCTGTTTTAATTGTGAGCTTTTTAAAATTCATGATGTGTATTTATAAATTTTGTGTTTTGCACTGAAAGCAAAGACACTGTGCACGACAGTAAAGATAATGTACATGTTGGTAAAGATGAAGAACTCTACAGTTTAGAAAATCCTGGGAGCTCTTGAAGTAGTGGGTGCTCACGCTGGTTCCACAAATACATCTTTTCCTCTGCCATGGAACTGGTATCCCAATGATCGCCAAGATGTTCTGAACACCAACAAACAAAGCAGACATCCCAAACAAAGTGAGACATTTTTGTTTCTCATGGTTGTCATCCCAGTGCCCAGCAGCCACCAGAGATGAGTGTTTCTCTCGTTTGATCAGGGGCTCTAACTTTGCTTCTAGTCCCCTAACTTGAGCATTTTCAAGGATGGTGCTAAGACTATAGCTTCTGGTTCTTCAATTGGGCATGGTAGGACTTATGACTTCTGATGGCCACTGACTGCACATGAGTTAATGTAGTTCACTGCTGGATATAGGGGATGCCCTTCTCCCTTCACTGCTGGGTGAGATAAGACTTACTCAAGCTCTTTGTCCAGATATCAAGAGTGGAATTATTCCCTCAGGGAGTTTCAGAGAGAATGAAGTGATTCAGTTTTGAGAATGTTTTATAAGTTCTTAAAGAATTTCATGGCTGTGGGTTGATATTCTCTGATATTTTCTTCTTTAACTCAACAAACCCTTATGCCAAATGAACGCTGTAGACACTGTCTTTGGCTCTAAGGACTCAAAGATATCCAGTGGATTATTCTTGAGTTTTCTCTGGTGGGAATACGGCCTTTAGATTCTGTTAGGTACTTGGGTTTTTCTCTTGCCCATGGAAGCTGGGGAAAGATGTTTGTGCTGGGAAATGCTGCTTCATTTGTGGGAGTCATTGTTGAGTCCTTGTACCAATAACTGGTGAAAGAAGACTAATAAAGATGGAGGTTTCTATCCCGCCAGGTCCTGCTGCCCTTCAGTCCCAAATAAGTACACAGAGACATATTAATTATTAAACTATTGGCTGATGGCTGGGGCTTCTTACTGGCTAGCTGTCTTAACTATTAACCCATTTCTATTAATCTATGTATTGTCATGAGGCTGTGATTTACCAGTAATCTGGCATGTTACTCTGTTGGCAGAATCTTTCTGCCTCCTCACTCCTTCCTCTCATAGCCCCACCTATCCTTCCTGCCTGACTATTGACCAAACAGTATTTTATTCATCAACCAATAAGAGAAACATATATGCAGAAGGCCGTCCCGCATCAGACTAGGAGTTAGTGGAAGTTTGGCTTGGTCCAACTAGGCATTTGGACAATAACACTTTTGCTTCCTGTTCTATATTTCTGCCCTGCCCTCACCACGTGTTGCTCACACTACCAGCCCACCACCTCTGACCAAAGGGTGGCCAGGAACTGGCAAGGTTCTTGCTACAATTCTCTTGGTTTTTCCTTTTCACTATTATTGCTGAGTGCCCTAGAAAGACCGACTGGGTGCCTATGACTTCTACAGTGTACTCTGCTGTATGCTGTCAATCCCTTCCCTCCACCACCCTCCTTAATGATAACTGGAGAAACCTCTAAGGGAGCATTAGGGAAGAGTGAATGAACAAGGAGAGGAAGGCCAGAGACAGCACACGCACAGATGACAATAGAGGGTACAGGAAGAGGCAGGAAAGTTGGTATCCAGGGAGACAGAGTAGGAACAATGAGGCAGGGAGGCTTAAGGGAGGTTTAGAGGTGTGTTTCAGTCTCTGGAAAGTAGGGTAACTGCTGGTTGAGAAAATTGCCACTAGGTGGCGGTGGTTCCTTGGTCGCATGTTCTGAGAACTGCTCCTTGTTTACCACAAACACAGCTGAATTCAATATTGAACAGTAACATTGTATCATCATCTATACAGAGATTTGAAGCAAAGCATCACCAGGTACCAAGGGCATCTTTATCTATGTATTGTAAAGATTTCTAATTATATGTGGTTACAATTAGGGAATTTTAGATTTTGTTTAAAATTATTCTTTTATCCTTTTATCCTCAAAGAGTATTTTTTGCTGTCATGCCTTCTGCTAGAACATTTCGAAACTTAGATGTGTGACTCTGGATCAAGATGAACTTGCCCCTCAGCCTGTATGTTTCCTTTTTAGGTCAGGATAAGGTAAACTTTGATTCCAGAGGGGCTTACAGTTGGACACACTCTCTGTGTGTGTGTTTCCATGGAACACACTGAGGGGTTCCTAAGCAATTTCTGCCTTGACTGACTTCTGTGGTGATTCCTTCAGAGCAGGGGAGGAGCTACCATGATTGCAAACAAATTTGTTCCTCTAGAAGCTGTCGCAGGCACTTAATCATCATTTTCTCCACTCTAATTTTAGTTGATAATGTAAATAATCTAGACAATTAAATGAGTAGATGGATTTTGAACTTAACATCTAACACTTGAAGATAAAGCAATTGTAATGTTTTTCAAAATAAAAGAAGATTTTTAGAGACTTGGACTGTTAATATTCAGACATAGAAAATCATGAAGCTAAAGTTTCTTAATAAGTTGCTAAAACTTCGGTCAGCCAATTCTCTTTAGATGAATCCTTCAGAATTATATTTACTTTAAAATAAAAATTTAAATTCGAGGAAAAAGCAGTTCCCCAACCTTCCAGAATTCTAATACTGAAATGTGACATCTTTTCTAAAGCACAGTGGACTGTGGAGTAGAGGTGCAAGCTGTATGTTGTCCGAGAGCTCCAGCCCGCCGCTGTGTGGTGTCCGAGCATTCCATCTGCGTTTTCTAGTCCACCCTCTGTGCTCTTTGCTTGGCCTCACTTTCTTTCCTCTTTCCCAGGTCTTTCTGTTTTCCATCATTTCCTCATCTCTACCTTTTACTTCCTCGCTGCTCTTGTTTGCTTTTATTTCTTCTTTTCTCTGGTTTCCTTCCTGTTTTATCTGCTCCTTCTTCACCTCCGTTGTTTCTGCCCTGCTTTGAACTGCTCATCTGCCAGCACATAAGGAGTGTTAATTAGCTTATGTATTGGAAAGAGATGTCTGCTTTTCATTAGAAATTATTAAATCCAGACAAATAGAATTTGTATATGACTTTCAAAAGCAGCAATGTAAATCACTAGTGATTTGCATGTTGCCTGGAGCCCCGTTTGCACGTCTAGGAGGCATGGCAGCAGGGGCAAAGAGTGGGAGGGCCTGCCTCCCTCCTCACAGTTGCTGAGGCTCTGTGGCTGCCTGCCGAGGGTGATGCAGGATGAAGTAGTTGCAATAGTCCTGATTCTTAAGTGTCTCTCTTGTCATGGTTTCTCAACCAGGCCGACTTGCTGCTCCTGTCCAGTAGTGAGCCACACGGTCTCTGCTATGTTGAAACAGCTGAGCTGGATGGGTAAGTACTAAATCAGGGAAGCTGGTAGGCTGCTGCCGTGGAACCTGGATGTCTTCAGAAGACAGACAAATCTTATTCTTTAGTTTCTTGTGAAACATAGAAATCTAAGCTGTGAAGTCCCTTGTTAATTCCTTGGCAGTCGTTTTGAAGCAGTTTTTCTCTTGAATTTATTTGGAAAACACCAACTTTTCCCTTTAGTATAGCGTCTTCCAAAAAATGCTCTGTTAGACATGTGAACATGAATAATCTCACACTAGGACCATTCAGTGAGGTTCCTTTTAGGGTTTTTGTTTGTTTTAATTTCATTTTCTAAGGAAAATGAGAGGGTGGGAATCAAGGTTCCTGAGAAGAAAGACTGGGATAGTTTTAAAAGGCAAAGACACAGAGAGGCAAGAGACATGAGTACGATGCAGTTTTGATGCTGGCTCTGAGAGTTCAGCTACTGACCACTTAGTGGTTACGTTTGAGAGATTCCGTTGTCTGACTGACGCCACTGACCGCTCACTTTGTATGGGTACTATCTCTGTGTATGTGCAAGACTCAGGTGATGTGTTATAGAATACTGATGTAGGTATTGGATGAGACCGACTGCAGAACACGAAGCCAAGGCTCAGACAACCAGGCGGCTTGCCAGACAGCAGAGGCACACCACTTTAGCCAATGTCTTTCAAGTCTTTGCCATGTTGAGATACTGGAGCAGTGCAGCCTGTGTAACCAGGAGGGCAGGTTCAGACCCAGCTAAAGTGGTGTGAAGAGGAGAATAGGTGGCATTGAAGTCATTCATGCACCAAAAGAGAACAAATTTCAAATCAATTGTCCACTCCATCTCAAGAATCTAGAAAACAGCAAAATAAACCCCAAATTAAGAGCAAAACCCAACAAACTATAGGACAAAATGAAACAATGGGACACAGTTGGTTCTCTGAAAGCATCAATTAGTCCACAAACCTCAGTCAAGGCTAACAAAGAGCAAGGAGAGAAGACACAGCTTAGTGATATCCTTAGCAAATGGGGAATTGACAACACATCCTGAAAATGGCAGCTGGATCATGAAGACATACTACAAACAGCTGTACACACATACATTTGACAACTTAGATGAAGTGGACCTGTCCTCAAAAGCCATACCATGCACTCACTATGAAATAGAAAACTTGGATAGCCTTATAAGTAATAAGGAAATAGAATTCAAATGTAAGGAATAAAACTATAAGAAATTAAGGCAAAAACACAGGAGAAAGACTTGAATTTTGGCTAGTCAAAGAATTGTTAGATTGGACATAAGAGTTATTACAGGGAGTGGGGACTTAGCTCAGTGTTAGAGCACTCCTTTAAATAGCACAAGGCCCTGGGCTGGTTTCTCCAGGGAGAAAGTGGGTAGAGACAGAGCGCGCGCGCGCGCGCGTGCGCGAGCACACACACACACACACACACACACACACACACACAGGGGGGGGCGGGGGGGGGAGACTTCACCTGTAAAATCTTGAATATATACAAATGCTTTAAGACTTACAAACAAGCAGCCCTGGTTAGAAAACAGGCAAATGACGTTAGTAGACACTTGGGTAAAGAGATCACACAAGTAGTGAACAAGCACATGGAAAAGTGTGCAACATCATTAGTGACATAAAAGTTAATGCCACAATGCTGTTACACAGGCCTGTAAGAATGGCTAACATCAGCACTGTTCTAAAGCTGGCAAGGGTTTGGAGGATCAGAACCCCTTCACCTTACAGGAGGGAGCACAAAGTTCAATACTCATTTTGGGAAAATGATTTGCCAGTTTCTTAAAAACTAAACATAAAATTACCTCATAACTCAGCAATTTCAAACCGGACTTTTATTCATAAGCGATAGATGAAATAAATTCAATGAAAACTTGCATTTTATAACCTCTATAGCAAATGCACATGCATTTCTTACATCAGAAAAGAAACAATTTGGATATCTTCCAAGTGAATGGTTGAAACAAATCAAGGCATAGTGGAATACTGCTCAGTAACTAAAAGGAACAACATATTAACAGGTACAATGACTGGGCTGAGTCTTCAGATCTGTGCCAAGCAAAACCAGCTAGTCCTAAAGGTCACATGGTTTCATGGAAAACAGAATGAAGAGGGAGTTTGCTGAAGAGGGAGTGAGGGAAGTTTTCGAGGAAGCTGGTGTGGCACTCCCTTTACCACAGTATAGGAGTGGTGGCCATATGGTCACCTCTGGCCTTTAGCAGTAGAGTGCTATGTAATATTTCATGAGAAGAGCAGCTCTCTGTGATCTGCCCAGCATGTTGGTTGTGCCATTGAACACCCAAGAGTTGCTTGGATTGACACTCCAAAATGGGGAAAAGAAAGCTGCATTTTTTTCCCCATTAAAATTTCAGCTACTGTAAAAGTGGCCATGGCTATCTTTTGCAAACCAAACTCCACAGATAGCAGATGCTGGAGTGATACTGGCCTCCTTTTGGCAACGGTGTTTCTAGTTCCAATGTGTTTTATAACTCATATAGGATGTGTGAGTAGGTTCGGAGGAGACCATATTTCTTCCCTTCTGTGTTCTTTTGAATGCAAATGCAAAGCAGATCTCTGTGTTGTTACACAGATGTGCTGTGGGTGGAATGCCAGAGCAGAATCCTGAGACGCCAGTTGCTTTGCTGAGATGGTGTGCAGGGTGTGAGCGACATTGAAAGCCAGGTTCTGTGTATCTCCACTGTTAGGATTTGTGTGTTGCCCCCACACAAAACTTTAGTAAGAGGCTGTTGGATTGTTATGTACAAAAGTTCATGTCTTGTCTTTCATGTAACAGGGAAACAAACCTAAAAGTTCGTCAAGCACTACCTGTCACCTCAGAACTTGGAGCAGATATTAGCAGTCTTGCAAAGTTTGACGGTAAGTGCTTTGAATAGACAAAAAAAGCCAGAAGGTAGGGTAACAGCTAATTATCTGAGATTCCATTCCATTTCTTTTTTTGTTTTTTTTTTCTCCTTACTTACTGTTGGGAGAACATAAAATTCTGCAGACATTAATGACTGTCATTTGTGCTCAAGCTAAAGGCAAGTATGGCATTATTAAGCCACCACCTAGCTTATCCTCATGTCTTCTTTTGTGGATCTTATTCCCTTCTACCCACCATGCCCTTCTTTTGGTAGCCTTTTGCTCCCTGGAGCTTTGCACAGATTTTCTGAAGGTGAGCAGGTTGGCATTTTAGCTCTAGCCCTAGGTCTAGCTTTTCATCCAATGACTCTGTAACAAAACCAGCACTTAGATGACGACTCATGAAGACAGGCCTCTCGCCACACATGCTTCTGTATTTTGCATAGTGCATACTGTTTTGAAATGAATAGGTGTTCAATGAGAGTCTCCAAGTTACAGTCAGCCATCAGTTGCCTTAAATTTTTGAATATGATTTCATCATCATCATCATCATCATCATCATCATCATCATCATCATATTCAACATCATCATCATCATCATCATCATCATCATCATCATCATCATCATCATCATCATCATCATCATCATCATCATCATCATCATCATCATCATCATCATCATCATCATCATCATCATCATCATCATCATCATCATCATATTCAACCCAGACCTTGCTTCTACATGTTCCTGGCTGCATTTTGTGCTAATATTATTTTCTTAAGATCCATGGAAACACCCACCGTAGATAGCTGTATTTTATTGTTCCATGACCACAAAGGAATTCCTTTAAAAGCAAAGGAAAAGAGACACTAATTGTAGTTTTATGTGTCATGCTAAGGAGGTTTAGTCTTTGCTGCCACCTCTCAATAGTCTTTTGCATCACTCACTTGCAAGTTTGGTTTTGGATATTATTATTTCCATGTAGGTTGGTTTGATTTATCAAAGAGTCTTATGAACTTAAGTCTATCCTTCGGAAATGTTTTCTTTGGAGTTTACTGAGAGATAATGAAGATAAAGGGTCTTGGCAATGCCCCCTGAGTTAAAGGCCAGGCAAGTTTATAGTGTGAATCTTCTCCAGCACACATTTCAGAATATATATGGTCTGTGCTTGGCATTTGCTTATAAATTCTGCCTGGATTATGTTAATATTTTAATCTCTCTTAAATTACTGTTGTTGTAATAAATGTTTATAGAAAAATATTCTTCCAAATTAAGATTTAATTTAGAGGAGTAGCCAGGAAACTTTGAATAGCCCAAGAAATATTTTGATTAGATTAAAACAAATTACAAATTTTCTAACCAAGTAATTTTTTTCAATGAAATGTTACTGTTATGTGAATCCAAGAAAAGTAAATTGTATTCACAAATCAAAATACTTCTAAAAATACTGTGTTGACTATTTATAGAGCTCTAAAAGGGCAACTTAAATATAATTTACCATTATTCACTTCTTCCATGGCAGAATTGTACCTTTGTATGTCTGTCAGCCTATAACGAGGTATAAATCTAAGAATTTTAGTTTTTTTTAACCATCAGAAGGTATAAATGATTGTTTTAACTATTTCCTACCTTTACATAAATTTTGATATAGGTAGCCTAGACTACCATGCTGTTACCAAATCTCAGTGTTGTGAATACAGTAAAAGTCTTTTCCTGCTCATGTCAGTTCTGATGTGGGCAGGGTAGATGGCCCCATTTTGTAGCCATTGAACTTGGACTAAGGGTGAAGGCGAGGTGGAGAAGCAGTACCTTTTATTTTCTCTTTTCCTCTTATATTTCATGAACCCCAATGTTACTGTGAACAATATTAGGAAGTGACAAATGTGGCTATTTGTTGAGCGGTGCCTGACATGACCACCATGACTGCCATGTCTGCCACATCTAACCCTGGCACCTTAGGATTTTTGAAGAGAAAATGACCTCTCCTCAGGTCAGAGACCACACCTCTACATCACTCTGGGACTTCAGTTTCCAGTGTTGCAGGACCCACATGGAGCTCCTGTCTCCTCAAGCCATATCTCCTCTTTCCATTAGCATCCTAACCCTGCTGTCTCAGGATCTGTGCAGAGTTCCTGCCAACTACTCAGGTCAGAGACCATATCCCTGTTGCCTCTTGAACCCCAACCCTACTACCTTCAGGCCCAGTCCTTCTATCCAGGCACCCCCGCTCTGCTAACTCAAGCAAGTGCCTGTTGCTGAGGTCAGCAGTCTTGGTATAACTTAGCCTAGCTAGGATCACCTCAGCTACCCACATTCAGATCAGGACTGAGTAACTTCAATTGAACTTAAAACTTCAACTAGCTGATCCAGAACAAGCCAAGCCCCAGAAACAGCAAGCAGAAACGTAAACATCCACTCAACCCAGGTGCATCAGAAACCCATACCAAAAGCTACAGCTGATGAAAGATGTGGAAGCCAAAAAACCAAGACTAGAATGGGGAGACAGCTCAATGTATAGAGTTCTTGCTGCACAAATATGACTGGGGGTTCGATCCTTAGAACCCACATAAAACCCAGATGGGAGTGGTGGCCCACCTTAATCCCAGCTTGTGGAACCAGAGACAAGGAATTCTGGGAGAAAGCTGGCCATCGAGATTAATTGAAATAGTGAGCTCTGGCTTCAGAAGGGACTCTGCCTAAACAGTACAGAAGTTGGAGCAATCTCTGTCCTTCACACTCATGCACCTGTACAAACATGAGCACACATACACTCACGCACAGTAAACATACATGGTCCCAAATGAAAGCTGTCTAGACAAAACTCCAGAAAATTGCAAAGAAAATATGTTCTAAGAATTCACAGAGGGCATGGATAAATTCTTATAGAAATTTAAAGAAGACTACTAAAGTGCTGAATGAATACCAAAAAGCATACGAACAGATGCTGGGATTAGCATGTCAATTCAGGCTATGAGAATAAAATTCAAAGAAGAGATAGAATTGCTGAAAAAAAAAACCCAATGTGAAATTAAGCTGGAAATGAAGAATTCCACAAATGAAAGAGAGTGTAGTAGGAAGGTTCACTAACGCATCCCAAGGACAGGAGAACATCAGGCCCGAAGGACAGAGAATTGATTATCCAAACAAAGAAAATGAATTTCTTAGCCAGGGAGCACCCAGAAGTCTCCCAAACAACACTCTTGGTTGCCAACCAGAACCAGATAGCAAAACCTTAGTGCTGAAGACACCTCATAGATTTGTTTATAGAGCATAGAAAACTGTAGCTGGAATGGCAGGTGTTGGAAAATTGGGCATGTAGTTAAACTGTCTCCTGAATGTTTGTTTAAGCCTATATACTAGTGCAACCCTCAGCCTCTTCTAGCAGTGGGTGACTGTCAAAGCTGGGAGTCAACTGACCAAAGTTCTGAGGATAAGTGACAATTGAGTGCTCAGCCCCAGACAGGATGTCTGTGTCAAATTCTAAGAGCATTGCTGAAGAGAGGAGGAGAGACTGGGGACGCGTGCTGTGAAACACTTTCTTTTGGAAATGACCTGGCTGTTGCAAACATAAATAGACACCTGTACAAGATCTGTAGGTGTGCAGAAAAGGAAAACATCAATGTGGAGGGTGGTAATAAGAAAGAAGGGGTCAGGAGGAGTATTAGAGGGATAAGAGAGGACAATGGGGTGTGAGCAGAATCACAGTTCCTTGCGTGCTGGTATACAATGACCAACATTAAAACATTGATATAAAAGAACAATCAATACATTTCAGGTTTCTTCTAGTGGCTAGAAAGGTTTCCCCATATGTCATGGGAATCAAAACCCCATGTTCCATCTTTCAGTTTACATTAATGATGTTAGTATTATCTATTTTTTCTTCCATTTTTTTTAAAAATTTAAATTAGAAACAAGATTGTTTTACATGCCAATCTCAGTTCCCTCTTCTTCCCCTCCTCCCCTGCCGCCCACTAACACCCTACCTATCCCATCCCCTTTCTGCTCCCCAGGGAGGGTGAGGCCTTCCATGGGGGGCATCTTCAGAATCTGTTGTATCTTTTGGGATAGGGCCTAGGCCCTCCCCCATGTGTCTAGGCTGAGAGAGTATCCCTCTATGTGAAATGGGCTCCCAAAGTCCACACCTATGCTAGGGATAAGTACTGATCTATTACAAGGGGCCCCATAGATTTCTGAGTCCTCCTCACTGACACTCATATTCATGGGGTCTAGATCAGTTCCATGCTGGTTTCCCAGTAATCAGTCTGGGGGCCAAGAGCTCCCCCTTGTTCAGGTCAGCTGTTCCTGTGGGTTTCACCAGCCTGCTCTTGACCCCTTTGCTCATTACTCCTCCCTCTCTGCATCTGGATTTCATTTCAGTTCAGTGTTTAGCTGTGGGTGTCTGCTTCTACTTCCATCAGCTGCTGGATGAAGGCTCTAGCATGGTATATAAATCAGTCTTCAATCTCATTATCAGGGGAGGGTAATGGGAGAATTACCAATACATAGTCAGGTAAAAATATAAGGGTATTCATTAGGGAGATGCCTTACTTACAGAACAACCTAGCCAGCCTTCGTGGCAGCAGTCTGTCCAGCAAGTACAAAAGTGAAACCGAAAGAAAAACACAGTCCCCTGAAAGTGTCCTCCACACACACCTCC